GAATCTCTTGCTTTTTCCCCGGTTCGCCACAATGAACCGAATGCAACTGGAAGACGAAATTAACCTTTATGACTTTCTCAATTGCCATCATAACTTAAGTTTCTTGCACAAGAATTTTTCGAATTGCTTGATTCCTTGCATTTTATCAACAGCAGCAGAGCAACTAAGAGAGGGAGACAAAGTGCGCGGCGTTCCGACACAAAACTTCACAATTTACGTCAAAAGTTTAAATGAATTCTCATTTTTTGAAGCGAATTTATTTGGGTTTTTCCTATTCGTTTCGCCATCGCCAGTGAAGGTGCATTTCTTCCATTTTCTGCTTCTGATTTTTCGTTTCTGTTCTTCTGTGTGGCATTTGAATACGATATTCCAGGTGTTTTATTGCTTACTGCTCTGTAGTTTTGTCTGCACTGATTCTCGCTCTCTCTCTCTCTTCATTTTCCTGATGAACTCTGACAAATCGCTTATGAGTGGGCGCATGATTTAACCAGCGGCGACATTACAATACATTTTCGTACACAAAATCACATCAAAATAAATCATTAATTTTATTATTCTATAAAGATGACTAAATCTTGAAATTGTGGATAATTGACGAACTTTCATTCATTCAACAAAGTAGCGCTTGACCTTCACCATCCGCCGAAAACAATTCGAATAAATGTAAAATTACATGAAATCATTTATAATTTGCTTGCGCTTTTAATTGTTGCTTCTCTGAATAAGTTCATTGTTACGGTCGAACAGATTTCGGCTTTGATGCGAAAACAAAACAGTGAACTTTATGTAAATAATGTCATTAAAGCGTTTCGTCATGGCTGTTCCGATGCAAAACTATGTCGAAAACGATTTTCCTCGCGAATTTAAATGCAAGTCGTTTTGTCTAGCTCACGAGAGTAGTTGGCATAACTTTGACTTTGATTTCTTTTTTTTTTGCCTTAGTTACTATTATTGTACAAGTTTTTGCCTGCGTTACCCATGGCGTTAGTCGGAAATCGGGTTGCAGATTTGAATGAATTGGATAACTAGAGTGATCTGAGCACGTCATTTGCAAGAGAGCATTATTGCAAACGGGAAAAAAGACAACACAGAGGAGAAGAGAATAAAAAAAACATGAAAAATGAGCTAATATTCAATGGTGAGTTGAGTGAATAATCGCGCAGCGGATGCGTTTGTCCACAGTCATGCTGATTTCAATGACAAGCAACAGGAAAGTTAAAAAGAAGTATGATTTATGCTTTTTCTTTCATTGCGCCCTGCAACTGAATAACATGCCATTCAATGCTAATGAATGTGCAGAAAATTATGCAAAGCAGCATGAGCGTAAGCGCTCGTTTGCCAACCACCCGCCGTACCTGAGCACAAGGTGACGTTGCAAAGAATGAAAAGATTAATAAATAGAAAAACGGCGAGCAATAATACAGAAACAAAATACACGAATAAATCGCTTCGTATATCATTCATTTGAAAAGTGAGCTTCGTAAACAAACGCCAACATATTACGGGAACAAATGAATGACAAATTTCTCAAGATTTTTATCATAAATCATCTGTATAGCAAAGACTCATTTCAATTTAAATGGCGTCGGACTCCTTTTAGCGCGCTCACACACACACACACACACACACACAGAGAGAGAGAGAGAGAGAGAGAGAGAGAGAGAGCCATTGAAATCCAGGAAATAAGTACAAATATGAAGGAGACCATTACCATTGAACTGAGGTCGCACATAAAAAGCGTCAGATGACATTTTGAAAAAGAAACGATATCGAATGACAACATGAAAAGTAATCGAGGATTTGAAGGAAAAAAAACATTCTGTTGGTAACAACAACAACGAAAAAAGCACGACGGATGATGCTTGAACAATAGAGAGCTACCAGACAATGAGTGCAGAGAGTAAGAGAGAATGAGAAAGGAGTTGGTGCTATGAAAAGAGCAATAAATAAAAAAAAGAGAGAAAATATGAACATAAATTATGACGAAGCTTTTTGAAGGACTACACCTCTATACACACTCATCCGTTGTTGTTTTTTCCCCTTTTTGCTGAAGCATCGAAGACAATGGCCGCCGAGGTGACACTTGAATCGAAATGAACAGAGAGAACAACAAAAAATGCGATATAGGTGAGAGTGTCAGACAATAGATGATGTTCACCGCAGAAAATCATAAATAAAGACGGAAATCAAATAGTAAAGAGTAGCTCGGCGACTATGGAGGCTATGTCTTCGAAAAGACTTTGGAATACGTGTATGACAAAACTCAAAGTAACAACAACCACCAAGCGCATATAAAGTTCAATCGTATTTTTTTTTCCGTCAATTTCACCTGACGCTTTTCCATGTTCGCTTTTGATAGTAGTTTTTTTCTCTCACTCAAAGTGTTTCTTAGGCAAAAGATTCTACAAATCCAGAGTATCTTGTTTGCAGCTTTTCCATCAAAATATTCGCGTAATTTTCATATTTTTATTATTTGTTTCGAACGGAAAACCGAAATATTTTTTTATTGCAGCCAAAAAGTATGATGTTTGCGATACGTGCATAATGTGTTGGGCGCATTATCATCATACGAACGCGTTTCGCGCCACTGTTCCAACATTTATCTTAACTTTTTGTTCTGACAATAAAAAAGAAAGAGAAAGAGAGAGAGAGAGAGAGAGGGAGAGTACGCCGTATTCGTTCTTTCACATGTTCAAAAATTCCATAAAAACAAAAAGTTTTAAGCGTCGTCGACACCGCCACCACCACCACCGTTGCTTTCGCCGTAGACGTTGTTGTCGTCGTCGTCGTCGTCATCATCATCCGCGCGCTCCCATTGTGTCTCTGCATATTTTCTATACAAAGTAAAGTCTCACATTTCGCCCCTATTAAAAGTTTTCACTTTGCTTGGGTATTTGCTTTGTGAGCGCTTTTTTGTGTGTTTTTGTTTCGCTTTCACAATGTTTTTTTTTCCTGCGGTATTGTTGTAGGTTATTTATTCCGCTGGTGTTATGTTTTTGTGCATACGGATTCTTTTTTTTCGGCTGCGTCTTTGTTCTTTCCGCGAATATGGGCTTTTTCTGAAAACATCAAGAACATTTGTTTCGTTTGAGTATAATAACGTATCATCTTGAATATCCGACGGGATGCTGATCACACGAGCATTACAGCTGCTTTTGCCAAATGATTCTACATAATTGCAACACCACATAAACACAACGCCGCACCATTCTGTTTGTTTCCAAGTGAAATTCATGCTAGGAACAGAAAATCACTCCATTTGAAAAGCACAAAAGTATTTTTTGCTGTTCAACTTTCAGACATTTATGTAATATGGATGTATCGACGGCTGTTGACTGATTGAATTTTTCAGGTGTTTTTCTATTTCAAAAAAAAAAAGCTAGACATATGCCACTTCGATACGTGATCTTTTCTTCGAACTGTCAATACACTTCCCAAGAGAAACTGCCAATATGTTAATACGCTGTCTATCCGCCGAAAATACACTACAATATATATTCACGCTTATTGGACGCCGAATTCAATATATATTCTAGTGTATATTCGGTGTATTCTTCAGCGTGAAACATATTGAATCAATGAATGCATTCATGGCCAATAGAGGGCGCCTGAATATGTTTCAATATGTTTCACGCTGAAGAATACACCGAATATACACTAGAATATATATTGAATTCGGCGTCGAATAAGCGTGAATATATATTGTAGTGTATTTTTAGCGGATAGACAGCGTATAAACATATTGGCCGTTTCTCTTGGGTTTCTTTATCCATTTTAGACGTTAAATCTATTTTTGGGATGAAGTTAGTATAAAATCCGCCGCAAATGCACATTTAACGCATGACTGTCTGATCCCACGTTTTTAGCGAGATAAACTTTTTCAAAATTATTTTTAGATCATCAACGTGTGTGTTACGATGGTTGGAATCGGTGTGGTATCTAGAAAAATACTTGCAAATGTTAAGCTCCTTGGTTCAAAGCTTAAGCACGTGGTGAAAAATCTTGGAAAGGAAGAATGATTCAATGGGGAAACAAACTAATTCCTCTAACAAACTAATATTCATTCGAATTGCAACAGACGAGAATATTTAAAAATGGAATTTCAAGAGTACTATTTTCATTTGGAGTGTTCAAATGGTCACGTTCAAGTGCACATCTACGTATGTACGCCAAGAGTGAGAAAGTACACGAAAGTTCCTCCGATGCAGGCTTTGCTATGCGCTAAATCCATCACGCTGAATAAATTCATGCGATAGATTTATGCGATAAATATGATGCGCTCGCGTTGCGATGAACGAAGTCTGTTGCTCTTCAGTCGTTCACGCATGAACGTTCATGCTTTGCAGTGAACGCATCGCTAAGCGGTAGGGAAGAGCAACAGACCTCGTTCACCGCAAAGCGAGCGCATCATATTTATCGCATAAATCTATCGCATGAATTTATTTAGCGTGATGGATTTAGCGCATAACAAAGCCTGAATATGGAACACTTCTGAGAAAGAATTTTTCTGATTCAGTAAATTGCATCTCAGTTTTCAAACACTACAATGCATGCCCTTCATATACCAGCGATATCAATAGCTAAATGAACCGTAGTTTGCATTCGTTTAATTTTATAGGACAGCTACTAGCAGTCGATAAAAGAGAAAACATTACATCAAGTACGTAAGAGCTTTGCTTTGGTATTGCGATAAGAAAGGACGCGATGCGAAGAATAAGTGAAAATAACAGTTGATCAACTGTTTCAATAGTAATAGTTATTGTTCTCGATGTAACAGTAATATAAACTTAAAAAATTGTTTCATAAACAGTCACGTGAAAGGAGCGAAGGTGATTATGTATGCAAAATCGATTGCAATTATGTTTGATAGGTATGAGAAGAAAACATACCGTGTCTTTTATCATTTATGTTTTTTTTTTTTGCCTTCGCTGTTGGTATAAAAGTCAGTTCCATTTCTGATGCCCGTTAATTATATTCTAAAGTTCAAAGCAGTCAGACATAAACTGTTCAGAATTTCACACTGAAATTTCTCTCTTATCCATATTCATTTGCATTTCTTGAGATACTGGAAATTGTGCAAAGTGTAGGTAGATAAAGATTTAACAAGTGAAAATTAATGAAAATTTCATTGATGTTTAATTATTTTCTGATTTCTTAATGAGCGTTAGTTGATCGAGTGTTGAAATGTGTGCATTTTTCGTTTTAGTCACTTCAAAAATGTGGAGATTTTTGGCATTACTTTCGATAATAGTACTCATGCTTGCTACCGTTCAATGTACCGTTTTGCGTTCACCATTTCCCATAGCTGATGCAACAAAGCGCATTCAAAAAGAGCACTTGTCCAATGGAAAAGTAAACTTTTTTGTGGCATTACTAAAGTTATAGTTTGAGAATATCAGTTACTCATTTATTCTTTTGAATCCATTTTCAAGGGTCCAGTGATTGAGGCGGTTTCCACCGATTCATCCAATGATGATGTACAGAGAATCTATATTAGTGAACAAAGTAATAAGCAAAAGTCAGCATCGACTGCGAAGGATGAGATGCCACTTGTTGTTAAAGGACAATATATACGTAATGAAAATCAAATAATCATTTCGGATTGTCATTATTCTAATTCAAATTGTCCCATTTAGATATGCATCTGTGCTACTTCAAAATCTGCAGCATCATAAGAGCACCAGACTGGAAATGAGACTGTCAAACGAGCAGCCGTCAAACGAAAATAAATAACAATTTGAAAATAATAATTATTATAATTAGTGACGAAACTTTGTTTTGAATACAATAACAATGTGATTACAATGATGATGATATACGGAATGTAACAGAATATTTGGATTAAATTTCAATTTTGAATCTGGTCACTAATTTAAATCTACATATCCAATTTAAGTGTATCAAACATTAAACTGTTTTTTTGTTTAATTCTATAAAAATGTAAATTTATAATGAATATTGTGTGAAACCTATAAAATTGATGACGTCAATTGAACGAAAAATATGTTGCATTTTGTTAAAAATCCGATGTAAAAGAGCAAAGTTGTTGAATAGAATTTGTGCATTCGGAAAAGTGTCAACTGAAATGTACTTTTAATTGAATGTTGTACGTAATGCCGTAAAGTTGAGGTACTTTAGCAAGTTTCAATTTCTAATTACCGGAATGGTAACGTTGTGATGCATGCAAGTTGTAGCAAAGCTTGATGGCTTAAATCAAAGTACGTGTTTTATGTAACATCCATCCCATGTATCACTCTTTCCCTAATTCTTTTTCTCCCTCTCTATCGCACTCTCACTCTCTCTCTCTTATTCTGCTCCACTGAAATCCAGCGAATTCAATGTAACCGATTTTGGTGTTCTATTTCAGTCAAGTTGATGTCGAACGCAAAAGTAGAAACCACACGCATACAAATCCTTTTGAATTCATCTGACATGGCACTTGACAAACTTTGTTCAACACATCCATCGTTCTGAGATAAGAGTCGAACGCAAATATTTACTTGATGAACAACTTTTTTGCTCATTTTTCGTTTCGATGTTTGGGTGTTTGGGTGTTTGGGTGTGTGCGAATGTGCCATGGAATTCGGTGACATTTACGATTCCATACCGAAAACCAATGGGAAAAAAGTTTTTAATTTCAATGTATCCAAATATTTTCTGCGGGCAAACACACAAAATGAAACAGTTGACGCAAAAGCTCAAACCAAATTACGAAATGTCAAGGAATTTTATTGATTTCGATGTTTGTGACTCTTTCGCATATTCGTCAAAAACGTATGTGGCAAACGAAATTTTACACCTGAATTGGTACAGTGCTCACATGTCTTTATCGAACGAAAACTCTGTCAAACACATCATTGTGGGGTTTAATTAAATTCTATCTGCTGCAAGGATAACGGATATCAAATCGCATTCAATGTGGAATGGGAAAAAACAAAATCACCACCACCACCAACAACAACAACATATCAGACTCTTCATTATAACATTTCGAGCCACTTTTCTGCCGGTTAAAATGCGCTATGCGCCATTGATACGATTTTTTTGTTTCCTATCTTTGATCAGGCTCAAATTTCCTTCGCACAGATATGTTGCAAAACAAACAATGAGACTCCGAAGCCATACACAGCAAACAATCGCTCGCTCACTCGCTCAGACATTCACTTGACACGAGGAGTGCTTTTCACAGGCTAATCTTCTCATCCGATATAGCGATTGAACGAAAATAAATCAAGCAAAACAGCTCTGGTAAAGCAGCTGAAACTTTAGTATATAGACGCAGAAAAAATTGTCAACAAGTTTGTTTTTTTTTCTCGTTGTTGTTCTATTACAAGTTGAGTTGTGGCGCAGTTTTTGTTCAGGCGAGTGTGCGATCGCGTTACACATGCGACGAACTCAAACGGATTGATTTTATTGAAATATTCACATTTCCACGCTCAAATCCACCTGATATTCGAAATCGATACCAACATGGCAAAACACTGACCAAACTCAATTGTCCTCCCGTTTGCCCACACATACACACACACACACACGCCGAAGAGAGAAAAAAGAATCGAATATTGTTTTTATTCACTTCGCATTTTCCATCGCCACAGGCGGAAATACATTCATCGGAACGATTGGTGGCTTTGGCATTGAGCCTTGTACCGCTAATTTTGATTGTACTGGTGCTGCCAATGAAATAACAAAAAAAAAACGCTTTGCATTCATATTTTAAATAATACTTTTTATGTTTTGTTGACGGAAAAAAATATGTACGAATATATATGCGGCAATCGGTTGAATTGATTTCCAATTGCAAAATGGTCGCACGGATATCGGCGTGCTGCGGAAATTGTGTACAATTTTTTGTCGGCTTGGAAATAGAATGAACGCGCGGCGGCAAAAAAAAAAACGAGCAAATGGAGACTAACGTTATGCAACGATGGATCAAATATTCAATTGTTCGAATACGTTTACTTCATTGGATTCGCCCAATAAATGACGCTTGATTGATTTAAATTCTTTTAATGTCTACCAATATTTTTTATCATTTCACAATGCACACAAAAAAATGTGCCGTCATTATTGCGAGAATCTTTCCGAATGGAGGGAATTTCGTTGGATTCTTTTTCGAGAGCAGGGAAAAAACCGTCCTTCATGATGCGTGAAATTAAATCTACCGGAAGCAGAAATTCAGAATTCAAACTATTTGCGATTGAGGAAAAAATTGGGTTCTTCATAAAATGCCATAAACTTTTAATTTTTAAAATGGAAATGCTACAAATTTACCAACCAGCTTACAATTAATTACTTACCATCACCATCATCATCATCATCATCGTGCAATGGAATTTCGATAGGGCATGAAACACAATTCGCAAGATTATTTAATTCAATAAAACGCTTTTTTCTCATATACCTTTCACGATTTCATTTTATTCATTCATCAGATCCTAGCTACCTCGATAAATTATGAACTAAAAATTTCAATTTTATGTTCAATCTTTGAAAACTTAACAACTAAATGAGACTCTTGAGCGCCTTTGTTGCGGTTCAATCAGTGTGTGTTGACGTCTTCGTTTGAGCCAGCATATTCGGCGTTGAGTTTTACAATACTTACAATCACCCGCTTAATCATAATTACATTTTAATTCTATCATGTGTAAAATGAAACTTTCTATCCAGCATATTAGTACCTCTATAGAACTCATTCAAATGTGTGATAGTATGAAAATGCTTTAGATTGTTAAAATCTTTAGATTTATCGAAGATCCAGTTACAATAGGTTGTGAGAGTAAACAATTTTGTGGCATTTAGATGGCATACCATCGTATTTCCATGCCAATGTGCCAATGGAATAACAATTCCGCTCGCAGCGTGTAATTTGCCGATATCGATTTTCATGTGCCCAATGAGAGGAGAGTGGGAGATTGAGTGAAATTATTTATTCATAAATCGATTCCTTAATTAAGTTTCGCATGTTAATTATTCATAAGTGATAAGTGTTGTTGATTGTATGTTATAGTGTATATATATGTAGAGCTTATATTCTAACAAAATATCGCGTCAAATCGAGCACTTAGTTCGAATATCAAAGTTGTTGATACTGATTGCCACAACCAATCAATGCATATTATTACATTTTGGAATGCTCTTGATTCTTGATTGTGTTATGAATATATGTGTTTGTATGCTACAATTTTACAAAATTACCATTTACATTGTGCAAACGGTGCATTGTGGCTCGGAAGCAAACGATTTTTCATTTTTTTTTATTGGCATTCCACCCCATTCATATATTAAGATGCATACATATTTTACCATGACAAACGATGCGGAATTTGAATCAAAATGGACAGAGTTTGCTGAACTCGTTCGGAGTAAAAGGGAGAATAGAGAGGAGAAAATTGTCTTTCATAGACGAGAGACATAAGAGTCAAATTGATGAAATTCAGAATGAAATTGATGGCAAGTATCACAGATTTGTTTTTTTTTTCATATTCTCAATCAGGGATGACTTCTTAGATAAATTGTCACTTGCGCTGTCCCAACGACTTTCTTTCTTAAATAGAATTTATGATTTGGTCAAAAATATTATTTTGTTGCAATTCATCGAACGATTTCTACAAAAAAAAAACCATTTCCTTTTTACAATTACTACGTATCACAGTATTTGGTGCTTAAACTGAAACTACAACTAAATGTCAATACATTGGCTTGTGGCTTTTCACCCGCTTGAAAAAAATATTGAAATTAAAAAATGTCGCAACCATTTTGGAATTATGCTTCGACAAATTGAATTTGGTTGACTTTGTCAAATCCATCGACTTTTTGCACCGGCCTGTTTCTTCAATACAACTAATCACAAAAATCGATTTTACCATAATTGAACCTAACTTGAAATAACCCAATAGAAAATATTGGAAACTTTGGAACTTACTTAAAAATTAAATTAATTGAATGATACTAAACTTCTATCGTCGTAAGAAAATCCTAGTAATTAGCTAATGTTTAAAAAAATGCGTGACAGAAACAAATTAGACATATGTTGGTGTTTCGCCTTGTTGCAATGTGCTTTGTATTAGAAAATTGCTGGCATTATGTATTGGCGTGTAATAATCGCGAGAAAAATCGACATAGCTACCAGTTATCGATTGATTCGTTGAATCGGTGAAACCTTCCGTTAGAGGACCCGAATACCTATGATACGGAAAAACGAAATGCATTTGAGAGGCGTCAAATGGTTTGTAATTTTGAATTGGATTTTTCTCGGATTTTTTTCAACGTTGAATAATACATTCGAAATATTAAGCTTGATTAAGATTAAGAAAATCAATTTCGAAACTGGAAGTTCGAGTTCACCACTTGTTTTACCGTTTGAACAAATTCAAAAACAAAACCTAATCGTGACTTACCTAATCGTTGGTGGGATCGATAGCAGTTTACTGCCAATCAAATCAGTTTTGTTCATTGAAAGCGTCGTCGTTGTGCTGTAAGAACCAGAGTTACTCTCTTGGTATTCGGGCTCAACTGTGACAGTGGCAGGTATTTCTGTTTTGGATAAGTCTTTCTTCTTCAAAGAATTTGTTTTCACCTTTGGCTGTTGATGATTCACCTGATTTAGCGAATTTGATTAAGTTCAAACAAAAGCGATTAGCCTTAATTACGGAAAATTCATTATGAAGTAAATTTTTTATATCGAGGGGGATTTTTTTCTTCTTCGAACAGAAAAAGTTGAGAAAAAAATGTGCAAAATTTCCTCGAAACAATTGAGAAGGGAATTTTTTTCATGCACTAGAACAGTGCAAAAGGAAAAAAAAGAGTCAAACCTTTGGTATAATGTCGGCGGGCGGAAGTTGTCGTTTTTTGCTACCTCTGACGCAACAACAGCATATGGCAAAACAAATGGCAATGATTAGCAGTGAGATAGCAAATGAGCCGGATGCAATTATGATGATCGGCAATTTTCCTGTGAAATGGATTTAAAAGCGAATCCGATTAAGTACCGTATAAAAACACGACAACAATGTCAAAAATTTCCGTTCAATCACAATCGATAGTTCAATCAAAATCGATTCATTTTCTCTCTCTTTTTTCCCGTGTAACCGTTTACTCACTTCGTTCGTTGAAAACAATCTCGAGCGTGTCCGATCCATATTTATTGATGACCGTGCAAGTGTATGTGCCAAAGCGGCTGCGATGATTCTCTTCGATGCGTAGCGTTGATTTAATACGGTCGTAGAGTACATCTTGTCGTAGCGAGAATCCCAAATCTTTGTCCACATCAATTAAAACACCGTTGAATGCCCATGAAACGTGCTTTGCTTTTGGCACAGCAATGGCCATGCACTCAATTTCGTATGTATCAGTGTCCAACGGTTGCTGTTGTGCACGCGATATAATTTTCGGTGGCCCTTTCAGTATGACTAATGCCTCGGAACTAATCTCGGTAAAGCCACTGCTATGCGCTTTGCAATAGTATCGGCCAGCGGTTTCGTTCGATGCAATCAAATGAAGCGTTGACGATGTACCCACAACTCTCGGCTGAAAATTCATCTGCAAAATACCAATCAGAAGAGTATTTTCATTATTAATGAATTGAATCAAGCGAAACAATCTCAAAGGGAACATTCTCCCGATGGAATCGCAAGTGAAATTAGAAAAAGAAAGAGTGTGCAACTCACGCGATCGATGGGATCGAACACCCAAATAATGTCAGCCTAAAAAATATAATATACTATGATTTATTTTTCTTTTTTCACTTAATTTCATTGTAAAATGTGCACACGATACTTGCCTTTGGATTAGAATCAACGAGACAAGTCATCGTGATATTTTCACCCATCTCCGATTCGACATTTTCTGGTCGTTGTATGAAACTTGGTGGATCTGTGCAGCCCCATCATGATGGATATGGAAAAAAAAAACCACATGTGGGCATGAAACGGGAAAAAAATGAACGGTTTTTAAAAACATGCACATACACGCTCATACAGCACAGTGCCAAAAACGAAAACATAGAAAACTGCTCAAAGTCATAAATATTCGTTAATGCACAATGTGGAATGAGTGTAAAGAGAGGAAAAGAACGGCACACATACAGATTACATCTAATGTCTCTGTGGCAGCACTTAATCCAACTTCGTTTTGCGCTTCACATTTTACGACGAAATGTTGATGTTTACGCGTTACGCTTGGTATATCCTGGAAGAGAAGTGGATGCAATGAAACGGGAATATTGCTATAAAAATTATTATCGTGTTGCTGATGTAACAAAAAAAAAAACGACTTCACAAAATATGGGCAAGTATTTTATGATCTCTCAATTTTTTTTTCGTCTAATTTTATCCATCAATTTTTCACGTGATAAAGCGGTAGTTACCAGTTCACTAAATGTTGCTCCGATAATCATTTCATCTTTGATGTACCACTGATATGTCAGTTCATTAGGATGTGCATCAGCGTTACATTTTAATCGAATGGCATTATCGAGCGGTATTCGGCCCGTATCCAGTGCACCTTCGATTATGTCAATTACCACTTTTGGTGCATATTTCACCTGCAAAAAAAAAACAGCAAAATTCCAATGTTCTTATTTTTAGAGTCGCTTCCGTAAATAAACACACTATTCCGGTATTTTGGTTTTTCTCAAACGGGGTTTATCGGTTTTGATACATTTCAGCTGCTTTCTCACATATCGTATGTAGTCCGATTTGAATATAAAACTATAGAAATTATATGCTAGGTTTGTTCCTTTCTTCGTTTTGCCCCCGGATCCATCGAGACAATCCGGCAGATAACATCGATTTACATCCTTTTATTTTATCATACTTCAAACTGTCGAAATGCCAACGATGTGGAACATTGGATTATGTGATGTACTCACCTCTAATCGGATGCTTGCCGAACGATACGTCTTGTCAGCACTATTTTGTGCTTGACAGTGAATCGTTTTGTTATGGAGTGCTTTGTTTGCTTTCAGCTTCAAAATGGATTTGGCTGTTGATAGCCGACTATCAGGTGACGGCTCCTTTATATATTCAACGCCCGCTGTCAAAACATTTCCGAAACCATCAATCCATGTTATCTACAATTTTCGTATATTTCATTTTGATGGAACGCGCGTCCGAACAAACAGCGTCACGAATTCACGAGCGATTCGACAACGTGGCAAAGAGAGAGAGAGAGGGAGAAAAAGAAATGCAAATGTATTAGCATGCAATTGAGAGATATATTTTCGAATGCGATAGCGACGATACAGCTGGTGATTGAAAAGTAAGCGCCTTGAGTGGGGGCGTGAGTAGAAGAAAAAGGTGCTGTTTTCAATGAAAACATTCTTGGATCGATTTGATTGAGGTACGGGGGCCTAAGAAAGAAGGATGTCGTGGTTTGCCTAAGTGAAAAATGTCAAAGTAGACGAAAATGATATAATCGATTTGCTGATGAATGTGGTTGATGCTTTTCAGTTGTTCACCATTCGAAATGCGAAACGAATTCGTTCGACGGTGCAAACTTTAATCATGATGAACCAATCGATAATTGATTTCAACCGCGTGAAAACCATCGACATCATCTGAGCACCACTGCCAACCACTGCCAACACCAAATTGTTTACATTTCCATTCATCTTCGTTTTCTACCCAATACTCAGTCAGGCCTCCACGTGGCAAAATCACCTTTTTACACTTGCTACACATTTAAATATTTTGATACATGTGCGCGTCTCAACTCAACTCGCATCGCATAGCAACCGAAAATTTATTGTATACAATCGAAATGAAATGTTGTTGTTGGTGTACCTCAGCTGCCGGCTTGCCATTTTCCGATACGCATTCCAATTCAATTTCATGGTCTTCAGTTGTCACCATATAATCTCCTTGTAATATTTTCGGTGGATCAGGTGATTTTAAAACAGATAATGTGCCATAGTTGGAGCGAATGCCGTGCTCACCTAATGCATTCCGAGAGAAAATGAACGAAGGCGCGATGAAAAGAGAAAAGAGAAAGACAGAAAGAGATACGATAAGAGACACCAATTTACAGTCATGATAAAAATGGATGGAATTTTTCTCCTTCTTTGCACATAATTCATTTTGTTTTAATATTCTCGCGTGTGATTACTTTTGTTGTGTGTGTGTGCAAGAGTCTCTTTTTTTTATTGGCAAGAAACGAAAGTAATCCCAACGGCTTAAAATATCGTTTTCGACTCGTTTGTATTTCGATATTACGGTGTCAAGGTATGTTTTGAGAGTGCATGCTCTGATGTAAAATTCATATTTCACCATCGAAATGACAACGGGTGCGACACTTACCATGTTGCCCTGGTCCAACTTGGCTGATGGAAAAAGAGAAAATGGCGGAATTAGTTTGTGCTATCGATTTTTCTTTTCTGGGTGACAAGAAGTTATTTCGTTCGCTTTAATTACCATTGATATTTTGCATCGTCTTCGAGCCTGACTGGGTAAATATTTAATGAGTAGTCACCTTCTTCGTCGCTACCAATCATCGAATATCGCTCAAAGGCAACCAAACGCCGTTTCGTTCCCAGCCCAAAATCATCTTTGGTCCATTGAAGAATTCCCTTTTTGTTGAGAACACGACACGGTAAAATGACACGTGCACCAACGACTGCCACTTGATCCTGTGGCTCCATGGCAAACTGTTGTTGTTCGATCAGATGCGTTGTGAATGGGCTTACACACGCTATAATGAGCAACAGCCCAAATAATTCCATGCAAATGTGTTGGTTCAACGAAATTGACATTATCATTGTCGTTGCCAATTCATTCGGTTGACGGTCCAGATAAAACAAGTATATACACGTCTTTGAATATGCTTTTTTAAGCCCCAACACGTGTTGTACGCCGTCTATTTTTACTTTGATATATCTGCGGGAAAAAAAAAATGAGGAGAGAGAAAAATGTGTTCAAAATTATTTTCAGTGCACGGAAGCAAGCAAGTAAGCAGAATAGCTTAGAATCATTCAGTACAGAAAAAAAAAGTCTTGATTATGTTTCGCAAAATGTTGAAATTCTGCGTAATTTGAAATCTTAACAGCTTGTTAATGCACAGCTCTAGAACACATTCCATCAGGCTAATTGTACATGAAATGCTGATTTTTCCAAACGTGTTACAATTCTTCATTTGTCCATCGAAGAATAGAAAAATTCTTCGACCAGTCCTATCTTCTTTTCACATTGTCGAGAAGCAAAAAAAAGACTATTTTGTGCGATAATAAAAAAGTAAAATCGTTTGATTCAAACATCGGTTGCGTATTGCAATGTCAGTTTTTTTTTCATTTAGTTTTTATGCTGTGTGAAAAGTTTGCGTGAAGTTCATCGTGTTGCCCGTTGTGGTGTTGCGTAGATGGCGATCCGATAAAATCCCTAATATGCAACAAAGCGAGAATCTGTTTCGCTTTGTTTCTATGTTCATTCGATTTGGCCGACAAACGTAATAACAGCAATACAAGCGAACGACTAATTAAAGGCTATTTGCATTGTTATTTATTTTTATTGTTCGAAGCTCGCTTTTTTCTTCTTCTTCTTTCGGTCGTCGTTTTGTATCGTCTAGCAATTCGCTTGACCATTTGTAGCCTGGTGAACAGAAATATTACGAATGTGATTCTTGGCAATTACGCAATTTATACACAATGTTTTTGTTGCGTTGAAACAACAATCTTTTTCTCTTGCCTTTGCTCTTGCTCTGTCCCTCTTTGCTTTCGATTCGGGTTTTTTTTTATCTCTCTGTATCTCGTTCGATGCCATTTGTGGCGAGACCAGTGGCTGATACTATACAACAACCTGCGCGCTCTCGTTAATTTATCGTGGCATTTATAAATGAAAAGAATGCGAGCGAGCGAGAGCATGCTCTAAGGTCGTCATATGTTTACAGTCATTGACCAACACACGAACGATAGCACATTGCATCAATGGAATGTAAATTGAATGAAGAATCATAAGAAACAAAATTGAATCGCGTTTTCACCGGCAATAAGTGAAAAATACCATTTATTTTTGGATTTCAAGTGATTTTTTCAAAATTAAAATTTCTACTCTATTTTTGCTAACCCATATTTTCACGGGAATCATTTTGATTTCGATTTATTTGTCTTAGCTACTACTTGAATTTCCCGTGGGTCGAAGCATACGATGAAAGAGGTACAATGTGAATGGAATAACACAGGAGTTAGACGAACAAAAGAAACACAACAAGTGCATAATGCAAATTTGATTGTGTGCCAAACAATGGCTTAAAATACGGAGCAGGTGCACTTTGTGAAATTGCATTCATTCTTACATATCGTTTTCATGCCAAATCGTGTACAGTTTCACGGCTCTTTTATCAATTCAATATGCATTGGGATAATTTTAAATTAAAATGTTCAAACAACCGTTTGGTTTTATTCTTTCCAATGAATGGTTTGTGCAAAGAAAATGCTTTGGTCTTTGTCAAAATAACAAGGTTCTGGTGTGTTATTTGTGCAAGGGTGTGCACTGTGAAATGAATGGGCACGAACGTTGGCAAATGCATTCCATTTGCTAGGGTTATCGAACAATGGTTAAAGCAATCCTTTATCGGCACTAAATTTAACACGCTCCATAGTAATTACACGCGTTCGATTGGATTTACAAACACATTATTCCGATTCAGAAAAAAGAATAGAGCGAAGAATTGAAGCCGGACACAAAAATAAGACGTAATTCAAAAGCGATTTATCAATTCCAGCTCAAACAACTCTTTAATTTCAGCTCATAAACGTAATTTATTTGATGAATTTCCAAGTGGGCTATTGATTGAATCGTAAAACAAAATAAAAGGCGATGACTGGAAATTGTGAAATTAATTCGAGAGAGTTTTGTTTTAGTGACACGCCATCAATCATGAGTATGGGCGAACGATAGAAATCATAATAATCACATGAAATCGATCGCCATAAAAATAAAATCGTTTGGTGCATTATCAAAATGGAATAATAAAAAATTGGTAATATATCAATGGATCACAAGAATAATAAAGAGAGATGGCACATAAAAAACACAACGAGAGAGGGCGGATGAAGAATTAATAAACAAACGAATCACTCAACAATATAATAATTTGTCGAATATGCAGCAAAACCGAATCAAACTATAGGCAAAATGAAGAAACGAACGAAGAGAAGCGAACAAAAAAAAAATAACGACAAAAAACCCATATAATTACCGAAAAAATGCATGAAAACAGAACAACGATTCAAATTCATTAATAGTGCTCGACCAAAAAAAGTTATGTACACGAGTCACGCACCGAACATAAGAGCCTTTATGTTTTTGCTGGCGTTTGTGTATTTTATGTATATGGGCGATATTTGTATTCATGCTCCATATTAGATGTATTTATGTTGATATTTATGTGTAGACGTGTCGGTAGTCGGTCTAGTTCTTTTTCTCATTCTCTTGTCTAGTTCTACCTACAGCAAACAAGCACTTTTATTTTGCCGTTTTCTTGTTGTCGTTATCGTCGTTCATTCACTCAGATCATTCAGTTCAGGAACAAAACAAAAAACATCAACATTTACTACCGACCTATGTGCATTTACTATCATTAAGTCTAATTTGACTGAACTGCAGTTATGGTGTTAGCTGTCAACGTATTTGTCATAAGAAAATAACCGAATATTCGGTGAGTATTGACAAAGCTGAAAAAACACAATTTCTATGAGTCATAGGTACAATAAAATGTGCGTTTCAATGAGAAAAAGACCCATTTTTTTAAACATAATTTTCCGAATTGATTAAAAATTCATCAAAAATAAGTCTCAACGGGATATTTTTTTTTCCTGTGCCACAAACGTGTCATTCACTTCGATGTTGAATCATACAAATTACTCAATAAGTTTCCTTTTTACCGTCCTGTTGATAATGCATTATCAGTGGAGCATAACGCACGCACGCACATTTACAAGGTAGTAATCATTCAAGACACTACCTGCCTGTCAAATTTAACCAGAAACATTCCAACTTGAAATGCTCAACACCAAGCTACGTATAGTTTCCGGTAGTGTTCATATTTCCCTTGCTCAATTTTTGTGTGAGTCACTCAATGTACGTGTTTTTAATGTTTTTTTTTCTTTCTTGCGCGTCGTTCACAATTGATGAAGGAGCCCGTTTTTCTCGAATCTGTCGAAAACTGCAACGATGACGGAAAGTAAATAGGAAAATGCGAGTGATTCATAACAAAGAAACACGAGAAGGTGAAAAATCAGGCAGTGAAGTGAATCGGCTCATGTCCTTCTGCCATTCATACACACGTGCTCGATTCATTTTGATTCAACGAAATTCACTCTCTCTCTCTCAAACACTCCGTCCCACCTATTCACATATTTTTTCTTCGATTATATGGTTTTGACTTGAGCGCTCGCAATTTGCACCCGTATTTGTCCGTGACATTCAAACGACACCCTTGCACTTATCAACTTATTATATGCTAATAAAATGTGTGGCAGTAAATTTTAATGATTGCTTCGAAAATGAAATATTATTCACGATATGTTGTTGGTGGTCGTGCTGCTGCTTAAAAAAGGGTATATTTTCTTTGAAGGGAATATTATGTTCGAAAAGTGATTCATTTTGGGTTGGTTTAATATTTCAACTGAAATGCATTCAATTTCTGGATGATTTTGTCTTCATGAACCGTTTGCTGCTTTTGGCTTCGAAGAAACGTTGACGATAAATGCCGGCTTTACGTGAGAAATGGAATGAAAATTGGTGTGCAATTAGTGCTCGTATAATTCGCCGAAATATTATTTCGTTTGCGAGGCGGTGAGCAGAAAAAAATGAGCGGAAAATTTCAAAAGATAAGCCAAGCCAAGCCATACAATGCAAACAAGTGAAGTGAAAAAAAAGTGTTGGCGAAAGAAAACAAAAGAGACCTGTTTGCGCCCAGCATACGTACGGCGATAGAGTGAGTGCGATGCACGTTGTAACTGCGTGGCAAAAATGAAATATGCACACGTCTCGTCACGCCAAAAGCAGCAGAGTAAAAAGTCATTTGCTTTAATTCCGATGACAAAAAGGATACAACAATATTGCCATGGGTCGTCGGCAATGACAATATCTCATTCTCTCCGTTTCATACGCAACTATTCATTCGATTCGGTGTTTATATGTTGTCTTTGATGGAACGACACCGACTGTGTGCTGCTGTCGTGCTGCTCTTTGTTCCCATCGTCAACAACCATTTTCGGTCTAAAGGGCTGTTTATGTCAACAAGCCGTGTATATATATATATGTGTGGGTGTTTTCTCTGTTTTGCCATTCTTCGTCCACTGTGTTTTTTCACTCTGTTTCTCTGTCGTTTGCAACAACAACGGAACAGCAAAAATAAACATCAAGCACATACGCAATTTCTAAAAGCAATGCATACATTAGCACACAGCCAAAAGAAGCACAGCACGTGGTTATGTTACCACGGACTTTGTAATTAAACATTTTTTTTTCCTTCTTCTACTCATTACAGAAGACAGAAGTACAGAAAAATGAACGAAAACAACTAGACTGAAACCATTAGCAGTTATTCGGTGAAATGTGAAATGCGTAAAGAGACAAACTGATTTTTTTTTCTCTGGTTGTTTGGAATTGTTATTCGACAAACTGCGAGCGAGCGAGCAAACGAGCGGTTGACAGGGTGTGCGAGTCAGCGAGAGTGAGTGAGCGAAAATGGCGGCACGAGCGAATGTCATTTACATTTTTGGTGCGTGAACAAAAATAGAATTTGTCACTACAAAGGAAACGAATTAAAATAGCATTTTGAACGAACACACCAAATGTAATTCGTAATTTTGACATTATTTGTATGAAAACAGGATCAAATGAGTGAATGTACTGCGAAACGAGTAAATGACTCG